TCGTTTCCAGTCACTCCACCCCAATTGCTGTCCCCCCCTTTCCTAAAGTTTCATAGTCGCCATCTAGATGTTTAATATTACACTCAATTATAAATTAAAATATGAATGTTTAAGAAACGAGCATTTATTTTTTCTTCACTTTTTGACCGCAAATGCAAAATTCTATTTTCAGTAAAACACTGAATTATTTAAATACACTATGGATACAGATGTTGTGTGATTCAAGTTCTAACGCCAATGTAATGTGCCAATGAAATTGCATCTTACAAATGATGTGAGTTTTGAATAAGAGCTGGCTGAAGGGTGAGGGAAATTCCTTAGCAGGCAACGACCGGAAAACTGACATAATTCACATTATTCGATACCTGGATAAAAACTGACAAACATTGTCATAATATATAATTACATGGAGCAGGATGTATAGATGATAGCCTCAAGCTATACAATAATTTTTTTGTCCTTTTATAAGGAAATCCACACCACCCCAATTCTTAATATCTTTTGACATCGATACTAAAATGAACACCGGTTTTTCCAAGTCCAACGTTTGGGTTTAGTTAAAAGGGGGACGAAGGCAATTTTTTTTACAAGTGTATGAGTTTACCCAAAGTCATCATTGCTAGCCAACGTTCCGATGTGACAACCCTATCTACAGCTTGGAGTATCGAACAAATATTTAGATGCTTTGAATATGAGAATTTCATTGGATGCGGCGGCAAGCCTCCTCATCCAATCGAAATTATATTGTTCACATTTGAACACTGTTCCTACATAATCGAGACAAGGGGAGCGCACAACTTGAATGGACTAAACTCAATGTGTTTTTTAATTGTTGATGCCAGATTATTCTGAAGTTCATCTGTGTTTGGCGGATTTAAAAATTCATATTCACTGGAAAACAAAACAAGTGCGTATCTTTAAAAAAAAATCTTGGACAAAGACATTTAGTGGAAATTTATTCTGGAGTTCTAAAACAGAACATTATAAATTGTGTTTCAACGAGGAACTATTGCCATCAATGCAATGACCTCATCTGATGTCATCGCCTTCCATATAAAAACTTTATCAAGATTCGAACCTGGATTCAAATTAGAACTTTTAGTGATAGGACATCTTTTTCGATTCTATGATTAATGCTTGGATTATATTCACAAGCCGTAAGTCCTGTTTCATATTTTTATCTTGTTTTCTTGAGAAATAAATTTTGTTAAAATTTACAAAGCTTGTTCGCTTCACTCTTTCTTTTGTTACTTTTGAACGAGCATATACTTAGCAAAATACATACATATACAAAACACAAATCAGGCTTTCTGTTAATATCTATATTTGTAATTTATAAGTTGATTCTGCTTCAGTGTGCCTTGTTCGAAATGGTCAGTTTTGGTGGTCCCATATAAGAGAAATTGCTAGGCTCCACATCATCCGGGTAAAATGGGCAGAATATCGTCTGCTAGTGACCTTTCTGGAAAGCATTATTTGGTTAGTTGGCATTACATACAAAGGGAGGCAAATCATGAACTCCAACAGATGTCGCTATTTCAAAGCACCGATATATTTGTTCGATCCGCCAATCGCATTGGAACCTTGGTTAGCGAAGACAAATTAGACTATGAAAATTAACAAATCTGGAATACACATTTCAATCAATGATATTGTTTCGAACTTAATAATGTCATGCTAATTACCAAACTCAGAATAAGACAAATATGCCAAAAAAGCTCGAAAAATTAGTAAAATCGGACAGAACCTTATTTTCCTGAAACCGACTCAATTTTACAAAGCCTCAAATAAAATTATGATTGGGACACTAAAAAATAAAATCAATCTCCATTCTTGTCCTATTCAAATGATGCCAAATTATACCGTCTATATCTCAGTGACCTGCAATTTATGTCAAAACCTGGAGAGTCATTGTTAATTAGTACATATATATATAACAGATGCCAACCCCTAATTTATCTAAGGTAATTTATTGGTACCTGCTGGCAATTTCACTGGAATTCACGTATTACTTACTATATATAGTTACCTCGCCATGATGCTAATAAGGTTAAGGTGATATAAGTTTCGATCGATAAATCAGGCCTTCACTCGTGATGATACTGACTCGGGGTTTAGGGCTGATATCGCTCATTATTAAACCTGCAGAAACTGGCAACCAATCTTGTCTGCATTCATCGGTGCACATTACACTTACCGGCCTTTCTTGCGACTGTGGAGCTACCGTCGACAGAGGGGTTCTTTTGGTATATGTACATTATGTTCCGGAGTAAATCCTATGTTTGGCGATTTGTAAATCCACATGGAATAGCATAAACCTCTATCCTGTGGCCAGTTTGAACTTCGCGGTAGGTATGGCTGTTACCTAATACCGGCAAGTGTCTAACGTGTACGCAAGTGTGTCCGGAAAGATTTGCATGCAGCAAAATTTTAGAGGTTTAAACGAACAGGGGACATCAAACCCACATATCGACCATCAGTAGGTGTGACGTTTTCCTGTTCATGTACCAAATTTTCTGTAAGGCTTCAACTAGAAAGGTAAATAAGGAGAAAATCTTTAATACGTATATTTTTTGTTTTAGGTAAATTATATGTACCAATAGCGGTAAAAAAAATCCCCTTTTCCGGTACATGTTATTTCCATCTATTTGCTTATATTAAGGGCAGACTTTAATGAGCAGTGACTTAGTCCAAAATTATCTACTACATTTCATCTCTTCAATACAGTTCTGATTGCTGCTTTGTGTGACGTCATTGCAAAATAAGCTGACCATACTTTACTGTAGACGTGTACTTAAGTGTATGACGCATATGGTCGAAACTTGCAAAAAAAGAACGTATACCAAGTACGTTTTCTAGTGGATGCTGGAACGTCCTCGTTATTGGTGGCGTTTACCAGTTATTATGTACTTTTGAGAGAGTGATGTATGTAAGGTGAAGTTGTTTGCATTTTTTTTAAACATGCAGAGTGGAGAGAATGTTGGCATACCTATATACTGCTTTCATGTAATGTGGATGAAATTTCTTTGGATATTGTACTTTTGGAAATTTTTAATGATCTTAGGACACTGCTAACTATAATGACTGCTCCCTTGTGCTCCAAAAATCAACCTAAATTTGTCTAAAGTACACTATTCTTGGCAGCTATTAAAATATGGAAAATGAATTTTGCCAAACTAGATAATACCTGCTTCTAAAAGTGCAATGACTGAATTACCAAATACATAAAATGTAAAAAAAAGTTATTGGCTCTTTTTTTACAATTTACCTCTGAAGTTCGAGAAGTGAAAATGAGCAAGTAGAGCTAGCACTTTTTTGAAAGGTGCACATCTGGAGTAAAACCAAGCTGTATACTCTCTAACCCATATTACACCCATCAATCATACATCAAAATAAAGGAAATTAAAGGTTCTTTGAACACTACCTAAGATATACAAAGTCTCTTTTAAATAACCAGTATAACTAGTGAGGAAACCCGGAGAAACTCTTTTTCTTTAAAATGTTAACCCTATGCTAAATACTAAACTGTAGAGCGCCACCTATTACAGTTGTGTTTTGACATCCTGATGTTTTAGGATCTTTATATTTCCTTCAACAGAAGAGTGCTTCCTTGTTGGACTGGATCTCTAATACTTTGGAGGCCCGCAGCAGTTATTATGTACTTTTGAAAGACTGACGTATGTAAGATAAAGTTATTTACATTTAAAACATGCACAGAAGAGAGAATGTTGACATGCCTGTATGTTTCTTTAATGTATTGTGGCTAACATTTCTTTGGATACATTACTTTTGGAAATTGTACATGTTTAAGTACACTGTTAACTAAAATGACTGCTCCCTTGTGCTACAAAAATCACCCTGAAATTGTCTAAAGTAAACTACCTTTGGTTTCTATTAAAATTGGGAAAATTGTTTTTTTCCCAACTAGAAAATACCGGCTTTTGAAAGTACAATGGATGATTTATCAAATATTTAAAATGTAAAGAAAATTATTAGCTCTTTGTGTTACCATTTACATCTGAAGTCCAGGATGTGAAAATAACCAAGTGGAGCTAGCAGGTTTTTGAAAGGTACACAATTGGAGTAAGGCTAAGCTGTAAACTCTGTAACCCATATTAAACCCATCAATCATACACTAAAAAAGGAAATTAAAGGTTCATTGAACAAAACATATGATTTACAAGGTTCTTTTTAATAGCCAGTATAACCAGTGAAGAAACCCGTTGAAATTATATTCTTCAAAATCCTAACCCTAAGCAAAAATACTAAACTGTAGAGCGCCGCCTTTGACAAAAAGATGTAATGTAATAACTGAATATTGTACCCGCCATCCTCGCCTCATCGATGCCTTCAGGTATGTTCATTTTCTAGGGTATAAAAGAATCAGATTACCTTCAGCTGTCTTCGCCGGATATGAAATGATGAGCATGCGCTGCATTGCATCTAGTGAGCTGATGTTTCATTCTTATTGGAAAGTAACTGTACCCGGCAACGGAAGAGGTGTAGGCAGATAAAAGCTCTTTTTATTTCTTGATAGAACATTTATAAAGAAATAGACAATACGTTTTATTTCCCTTTAATATGTATAATTTTTTAAATTATGAATTTATCAATGGAGGTTATAAATAATTTTATTATTAGAATTTGTCACATATGGCTGGCAGTATCCAAGCGGCGAATCCTATGCTTATAATAGATTTTCCATTTCAGAATTATTATTGTATTGTGGCCCTGGTACAATTGTTGTACAAAGTCGTTTAAGATAGTGATGTTTATAATATCCAAACCAGAAACCAGTTATCGACAATGCGCTCCAGACAGCAATAACAATACAAGTGACCAAATTACGACAAATTTATCGACGAAGTTTATATGTAATCTTAGAATTTAAGGTTGTTAGAAGGACAATATCCAAACGCTGAATCCATATGTTTATTTTAACAGACGTTCCATTTCTGAATAAACAGTATAGATTTCCTTAAATAAAAGAAGATTGTTCTGGTGGCTTAAGTGGTCAGATCGTCCGCCTCGGATGCGGGAGGTCGCGGTTACGAACCCCGGCTTAGCCATACCAAATACTTATTAAAATGGTACTAGCAGCTGCCTCGATCGCTCAGCATTAAGAGGTTAATGTTAAAACTGTCTCCCCAGTGTCAGGATAATGTCACAGAATAGGACATCATGATGCACGTCTGCGACATAATGTGCCAGTGCTAGATATCACTATAAACTGTCACACTGCAAACATCGTAGCCATGTGACTAGAAAATTGTTAAATCTACCTTAAATCAGAATCACACACACACACACACACACACACACACACACACACACACACACACACACACACACACACACTTGAGGCATGAAATTAAAAAGATTTATTACATTCAACATGTCCAACATACTGTACTCCACACCTTTCACAAATTATCAAATAAATAACATTAGATGATAACGCATCCTAAATTTATGGGATATTACCGCTATTGGAACGAATATTTCATTAATTACAGAACTATTTTTATATTTATTTGATGAACCATGGCGTTTATACATTTAACAAGTTTAACTCATTTAGTACAGAATTCAGAGGTCAGTATTAACATGTACCACGCTCCAGTTAAATTTTTATACTGAATTAACATAGGTGTATTTTATCTTCACCTCTTATTATTATTTGTGCTTATATTCATATACGAAATTCTTCTATTCAGCTATAATTAAGCACTGTGTTCCTAATGAAATATGTAGACGCTTACAAGGCAACGGGGATGAAATTACATATTTCTATTAAATTCTAGCATACTCTTGTTAGTGACAGAATAAAACGTTCTCATATATACTGCCAAAAATAAGGCATTCATGCCCGATACCAAACGGCACAATAACTTTATTTGTACAATAATGTAATTACTCTTGCGTTCTTTCTTAGTACTGTTTTTTTTTCCTTTTGTTTCCACTGTCTGATTACCCATTAGCATCACTATGCACGTGCTAAAGGCACCAGCCCAACATGGGCATCTGACAAAATCAAATTGTTGAAAACCGAAACCTGACTTTCGTTTTAAAAAAGGAAAATAAAGATAAAATTATATTAAAATGTATGAAAAAAGAAGGTTGGGCCCATCCATAAGAAAAAGAATTTAAAATCAAAAGCATATTTCTTCAATTTTATATTTGATCTTGCCTTGCCGATTAACTGAAGGGAGATATAGATTTTCCAGCAGTAAAGTAGAACATGGCTAATGCATACACAAATAAACGTATTTTGTTTTAATGGGATTTTTTTTCCATGTAATTTCTTTCTGTGGCGAGAAACATAGGCCTATATATTATAAATAATTCTATAAACGCTATAATACAAAGATGTCAATCATTGTGTTACCATAATTCTTCAATAAAATGTGCGTTATTCATTCTATTTAGTTGTATTTTATATATTGCTAGATCTCATGAGGTAGAGAACTAGTAAGTGTTACAAGCCAGGGGTCTTTGCTTGACCGAGCGGTGTCAAAACCCTTGCGCTTCCCGCTAGAAGTCCTAAGTTTATCCCAAATTTCAAAAGACTTCTATACAACTTCAGTTGTAAGACAGAAAACCCGACGTGTGCATTCTATACATACTTTACCCTAATCAGTGCAAGACCACGTTATTCACAACTTGCCAAATATCTATCATTACCACGGGGAACTATTTTAACTTCACCACATCAGGCCAGACATTCTATGGTTTCAAAGTACATCACGCCAATACAACTGCATCACATTTGCACCATGGCAACATAAACGGTATCTGCAGAGTCCTTTCTTGTTTATTCCATTGTGTAATGTACCAGTTTCCTACTACAAATACTGCCAATGCAGTCACAACACCAATGTACACCACTAGATTTTATTAAATCTACATTATTCAGGGACAGTAAAGAGGTTTGAATCTGAATTCGCGACTCATTGACCATGACATCATGGAAGCTCACTAACTCTATTTCTCTATGACGTTTGCTCCTACTACTGGCTAATTTTTTCAGGCTAAGGAATATTTCCCATTGCACAGAATTCCAATAATCAAACAAGTAATCACACAAATCTAAGAATTGCTTAAACGGGGCGCTATAACCAAATGCGCATGTCTTTCATTTTATTACAATATCATTAGGACTTATTTTCTCCACTTTGCTTAGAATTTTATCCTTTTGTTTAAATATTTCTCTGATCACGACACTATCTCTACTTACGTTTACAGTTTATTTGATAGTTTACAATGAAAACCAATTTCGTTCTCATTAAAGTTCAGTATTTCAAAAAAAAAATTATAATTGAAGGGTCAATGATACAGCCAGAGAAGGATATTTCAATACAATATATCAGAATTCAATACCATATATCATAATTCAGTACAATATGTCAGTATTCACTACCAGATATCAGTATTCACTACCAGATATCAAAATTAACTAACATACACCAGAATTAGAATGATTAGGATATCAGTTAATTTATTCTGAGTCTTTTTATGACGACAAGGTTGTCGACTTGGGTTACTTTATTACTTAAGATCAATACAGCTTGGATTTCTTTTTGATGGTACGTCATTTATAGCATCTTTGAAATCACACGTGAGTCAGGATTATGCCATGGTATTGTAATGTATCAATAATGTCTCCTTGTTTATTGTGTATGAAGAATTACTAATGAAATACACTTTTCTTTTGACTATTATTATTTGAATTTTATTTCAGCTGATATTGAATTTCCTTTGATTAAAATACATTTAGCTTACTTCTATGAAGTGGAAGAGAACAATAACATAGATGTCGGTGTCGGTGTTGATGTAGATAAAATCACACGCGCGCGTACACACAAGCGCGCAGCAGCAGGGAGGGCGAACCCTACAAAATTTTGCGACAAAATCGATTAAAGCCTCAGAATACCAAATGGAGCCTTCCTACGAAATCTCATATTTTAACCCAAAAAAAAAATAAAGACCCCATTTGTAAAATGGAGCCTTAGCGATTTTGTCGTAAATATATTGTCATAACCACTTTCAAATTGCTGCCAATAATTGCTATCATCTACGTCGCAAATATGTTGTCATAACCCTCCCTGCTGATAAAAGGATTTCAGGGTTAATACAAATTATTTAACCAAATATTTGATCAAGTCCAACACGATATCGTGACCGAGGGTCGTGTAAATTTATTGTTATAAATCCATATGGGACTGACTGAGCATGACTAAAGTAATTTTTGAATCCATTGAAGTCCATATCGGAACACCATGTCTGCCAAATATTTCGTAGCGTATGTGTATCAACGCCGTTGAATACAGCAAGAATATTGCAGTTATCGCGAATCACTTTTGCAATTTGAGTGTAGCGTTGAGTGACATATATCACATCAGTGTTTTTATGCCTACCTCGGGAAAATATTCTAGCAGGGTTCTTTTGATTATCTAACATTACATCATCGTACACTACAAGATTGTTTATGTCTCCATCGAGGTCATCTACGCTAGGCGCATCATTAATATCAGTAATAAAGTCAATTACACTTTCACCTTTAATTTCTGATGCATTTTCATTATAATCTTTTAGCACTTCATAGCACCGTTGATCATCTACGGATGGGGCAACTAAATATAATTTATCCCACTTCATAAATCGCATTATCAAATTAAGCAGCAATTGTGTTTTACCCGATCCAGATGGTCCGATTATAATGGCACGGACAGAATTCGGGAGCGCTGCGTGGTGTTTCACCAGTTCTCTTCTTTTAGTCGCTGAAAAATCAATTATATTCATAACGCTATATATAAATTATGGATCTATATTGTGTTAAATGTAAACAGCTTACTGATGCAAACGATCAGACAACCATTACAACTAAAAACAATAGACTAGCGCTAACTGGTAAGTGTGTAACATGTGGTACAAAAAAATTTAGATTTTTTAAAAAAAAGCAACTCGGAGGTGATATTGCCGCAAAACTTGGAAAACTCCCCGGAACCCCATGGGCAAAATACCCCGGAGAAAAACACCTTCAAGGATATAGTTACTGTGGTCCCGGAACGAGATTAGATCTCAGACTTGATGATCAAAATCAGCCCCGGCCTGGTGAGTATCCGATAAATGCTATTGATAAGGCATGTCATGCTCATGATGTTGCATATAAAAGTAATAATTTGCAACAAAGACATCTCGCAGATGTAAAATTAATTCATGCTTTAAATGCTATTCCCGATAAATCCTTCAAAGAAAAATTGGCTTCATGGTTGGTCAAATCAGCTATGAAAGGCAAATTGGTGTTAGGTGCTGGTAATTAAAAACACCAGTGTTTTTATAGTATGGAATCTATTTATTATTCTCCGAAAGGTTACTGGAAGGGTAAAGCAGCAATTAGTAAACTCGCTAACGCTGCAAAAGTGAAAAAGTCCACTGCGGAAGATTGGTTATCCAAACAAGCTATATGGCAAATTTATCTACCACCGCCTAAACAAATTAATTATTCTCATTTTGATGTTACCGTACCCAACGAAGTTCATCAGGCTGATTTATTGTTTTTACCACATGACCATGGTTACAAATACGCGCTAACTGTAGTTGATATTGCGAGTCGATTTAAACAGGCAGAACCATTGCAAACAAAGTCAGCTTCTGAAGTCGCTTCTGCATTTGAAAGGATTTATCGACGAGGTCCTCTAAGATGGCCAAATCTATTACAAGTTGATCCTGGCAAAGAGTTTCAAGGTGCTGTTCTATCAACAATGAAAACTCATAATGTTACAATACGACGGGGACATACTGCGTTACATTGTGATCAGGCAATTGTAGAACGATTTAATCGAACTCTTGCAGAACGGTTATTTGGATATCAATATGCAAAAGAATTCATCCAAGAAAAACGATCTCGTGAATGGGTCCAAAGGTTACCGAGTGTAGTTGCAGCGTTAAATAACGAGATTACTCGAACTATTAATATGAAACCAAATATTGCAATAAAAAAATATATACCAGAAGAACCAAAGCGGGTTAACACTCAGCCACTTCTCAGTGATGTTACTGTGAGATA